TTGCATTCGTTACGTTTTCCAAGCTCAACGAAACCGACTTCGCGCGCGTTTAAAAAACTCCAAGAAAGCTACATACTTACATACATATGTATGTACATACATACATACGAGCGACGTTTTTGGCTTGGCAGGTTGCGCAGACGAGAGTCGAAAAATGCGATGATCTTTGTGTGTTTGCACTCATCTTCAGATCTCCTTCAGTTGCCTTTCGGTATTCAAAGTTTTTATTTTTTCATTTTCATTTCATTTTTCTTACGAACAATTCACTCGTCAACAACAGCGGTGTTGCACAAATGTAGCAAATCATCAGCTCAGCACGAGCATCGGTGGTATCACATGCAGCATCCACAGCTTCCAAGCACGGATGGAGTTGTTGTCTGACGTCTTTTCATCTTTTGCTTTGTGACTACAATCGATCGCTACGTTTTGGTAAAATGCGTACAAAGATGTATAATTAAGTTAATGATACTGGTAGAGATGTGTTTTTCGTTGACACCTTACATAAAAGTAGACATGCATACATGTGTGTGTGTGCATATTATATGGGTGTGTATACATTTGTATGTATGTATTGAGGCATTACTGTTTAATAGCTAACATAAGGAGTAATGAAATATGAATTATGTAGCCTACAGCCTCTGGGAAAAATTGAATTAACTTTTTTTTTTTAATTTTCAAAACAAGTTGCTCGATATGTTTGCTCAAGGCAAAATAAAAAATTACGAAATAAACTAAAAAAATATATATAAAACAAAAAAAAAATTATTTAAATTAAAAAAAGGAAATAAAAATAAATTAAAGCAAAATAAAAATTAAAAAATGAAATTAATATTCAATTAAATTAATTAATTTATTTATTTTATGGGGAGCTTTTATTTCATGTAAAAAATACCTTCGGTGGGCTTTTGGATGTTGGTCGAACCAGAACTCGAGCCCTTGCCTTCTGTTTGGCAGTAAAATAAAATAAAGCAAAATATAATAATTCGAATAAATTATAATAATTTATAATGTAAGTGGAAGTTAAATACACTAAAATAAACGATTTAATTTAATAAAATAAAATAAAACTAAGAAAAAAATTAAGGTCAAATAAAATGAAACAAAATAATGCTAAAAAAGATACCATTAAATAGCATAAAATAATCCTAAAGAAGTTTAAAAAAATTAAACGAGATTAAATAAGATTAATTAATTAATTAAAATTAATTTAATAAAAGTAAATAATAAATAAATTAAAACAATATAAATTAAATTTAAATAAAAGGAATGAAATATAATTAAATGAAATAAAAAATTATGATAAAATGAAAATTAAATAAAACAAAATAAAATATAAATATAATATAATAAAGTAAGTAAAATGAAATTAATTATAAAAAACTAAATAAAGTAAATAAAAATAAAATAGAAATTAAACATGTCAAAGTGAAAAAATATAATTATTTTGTGTTGTAATGCTGATTTGAATTGGTTATCAGATAAATAAATTCATGAATAAATTGAATTGGCGGCTATTCCTGGATTTTGGAAATACTCAAACGCACCATTTTTTTATTGTTCTTAATTATGTACCGTTACTCCGCATGCTTTTTAAAATAAATTCCAATAGCTTTAAGAAAATATTTGTTTATATTCGTTCCCTGTGAAGTAATAATTATCCTTAAACTTCAAAACGGCGTTCTCTTTGATAGCAAAAACAAACCCGAAGAAAAACAAAAAAAAAATATTCATATCGGAAATCAATATGAAATTCAAATGAAAACAATTAAAATAATACAAACACTTTAGACGGCTACTAAGCGCAACAATGTGGGCGCTGCTTTGATTACATATTTATTTACATTATGAACATATGTCCGTACTTACGTATGTATGTATGTACATGTATATTTGTATAAAGGAATATCTAATGGCTTTTCTATGATCTTTGTTGATATCTTATTCCTTCCCACAAATTTCCCACAAACTCAATGCCATAAATGTGTTTACATACATACACACATATAAATATACATACATGCATATGTACGTCTATTTTTATTTGTTTAGCTGAGTGCGCGGCGGACGGTATGCTTTGATGTTGCCAATGCAGAGTGAGTGCTTACCGATATCGAAGGCAGATGCATATACATACATTATTTACATACATATATACAAATGTATATACACTCTCTTTGACTTTCCCGCACGATCGGTGTACACACCTACATACGTATACATATGTATGTATGGTTATTAGTGTGGCGCTAAAACAACTTTATACTTTGTTCACCTCACCATTTCCTTTTCAATTTTTCCCCAGTTTTCTTGCTCTCCCCTAAGTTAGCCAACAACAAAAGCAAAAGGAGTCCAAACGATTTTATTACCGCTTCGTAAATAAGTTTTCATAATTTTATTAATTCGCAGTGTAAATAATTTGGTTTGTTTGTCTTAATTCTCACGAATTTAATAAAAATGAAATTTATTAGCCCAAGCGTGTTAGTGTAGCTGTAATTGAAGTTGGCTAAAAGCCATTTGTTTGCTGTTGCGCCCGTCGTGCGGCGTCAACAATTTGCTCGCTAATTGCAGCAACACATTTATTTTCATCACTTTTTCCGTGCTCGCGGCGAAGATGAAAGCGCTTTTGTTTCGTGGACATCCGCCGCTTTGTACCGCAAAAGTGATTTTTCCACTTGTGTATGTACATATGTACATGTGTATGTGCATATGTTTGCAAGTGTATTTTTTTAAATTATTTTTTAGTATGCTTTGTAATTAATGTAAGTTTCAGTATATTTTTTCGTGCAATTAACACTCTTTGATGTGTGATATTTTTACAGTTACAACACATATAAATACGTCTACATACAATGGTACGAACATATATGTATGTAGGTATGGGATGAGAATGCTTTTAGTTGTGGTGTCTTTATAGTGCTACTGTAAAAAAGGCAATTATCAGAAGAGCAGAGTCTGAAAGCCGAATACTGGTGACAAAAAACAAAACAATTTTTTTATTTAAACTTTAATTTTATTTAATGTAATTGGTTTTATTTTGTTTTTTTTTTTTCACTTTATTTTATTTATTTTACTTTTGTTCTATATAAATTTTTTGTTTTATACCTATTAAGTTGTTTAAAATAGATTAAATTGCTGGCATTTTATTTACATGGTTTTTGTTTTTTATTTTAAGTTAATTATTTTAAGTTTTATTTTAATTAAATTTAGTTTTTGTTTTTTTTTTGAAGTTAATTAATTTAAGTTTTGTTTTACTTAAATTTAATTTGTTCTATTTTGTTTTTATGTTTTTTGTTTCATTAATTAGAATATATTTATTTTACCTTGTTTGACATTATTCAATTTTAATTTGTTTTCCTTTTTTATTTCTTTTTTTTACATATTTTTCGTATAATATTTCCATTAATATATTATTTACAAAACAAGAAAATTTAATTTTTTCACTGTTTTTTTCATTTTTTTTTTCATTTCTTGTATTTTTTTGTTCCATTTCTGTTTTGTTGAATTTATTTAATTTACTTTTAAGTATTATTATTATTTTTATTTTATTTAATACAATATATTTAATTTTGTTCTTTTACATGATTTTTGATTTTGTTAGTTCATTTTTATTTTTATTTATATTACTTTATACTATTTTATGTTTCTTTATTTTATTTCATTTCATTTGAATTTATTTTATTTTAATTAATTATTTTTATTAATGTTATTAATAATTTTTTTATTTGTTTTTTAATAATTTTAGTTTTTTTAGCTAAATTTATTTGTGTTTTTATTAAATTTTTAATTAACTTCATTTAATTATGTTTGTTATTTTTTTATTGTACTTAATTTTATTTTATTTCATTTAATTTTAATTTATTTTATTTCAAGTTAATTATTATATTTATTCCATTTTTGTTTTGTTTTAATTTATTTAATTTACTTTTATTTATTATATTTTTTAATTTAAATTAATTTTTTTTTTTTTGCAATTTATATATTTTTTTAGTTTTATTTCTTGTTGGTTTGATTTTGTTAATTCATTTTTATTTTTATTTATATTACTTTATACTATTTTATGTTTCTTTATTTTATTTCATTTCATTTAAATTTAATTTATTAATTATTATTATTAATGTTATTATTAATTGTTAGGGTTATTAATATTTTTTTATTTTTTTAAATATATTAGTAAATTTTGCTAAATATATTTATGGTCTTTTATTATAATTTTAATTCTCATTTATTTTTGTTTGTTATTTTTTCAGTTAATTTTATTTTATTTATTTTAGATTTTGTTATATTTCTTATAAATTTTTTTTTATGTTTTTTATTATATTTTATTTACTTTTTGATTTTATTTTGCAGCTTTTCATTTAATATTTTTTTTTTTTTAATTTTTCAACACTTTGTTTTTATTTTTTTTTTGTTATGTTGCTTTATTTCTCGTCCTCTCCCTCGAGTTCAAAGCCAGTACACATTGTCTGGGTATCCTTTTTTTGCCAGAATTGCACATTTCGTCAATTGTCAACATCATCCACAAGCCCCCATCAATCATACAGGCAACTGAAAAACCACCAAAAGAGATGTTTGTGTATTGAAAAAGTGTAAAAAATGTCAATCTTTGGCTTTCAATAGAATTTCTGTGCACCACATTGTTGTCTGCTGCACTAATTTGGTGCACAAGAATGATGGAACGACATACACACTTTTTCAGCCTCTCCGTCTGATGGCATTTAATCTCTGGATTTTAGCGCTTAACTTTTAACGATTTGGGTTTGGTGCGCAGATCACCGCGCAAGAGGTTCACAAAACAGGTCAAAAAGGTTGCGTTGTCATTTTAAGAGGCACAGTTTTTGTGCAAACTCAAAACTCAAGCGTCGCCGAGTTTCATATAAATCATGAATTATTAAAGTTGCTTTGCTGCCTCTTACTCTTTAATTTTTTTTACTTATATTGTTTTATTCATAAACATTTACCGCTTTTATACTAATAATCCTTTTCTCTTTGCTTTATTCCAGCTGACGAAACTGGTGCCACTCATCGAATCGTCTTGCTCAAATCGCGCACGCTTTCTGCTTTGCTCGTCACTCTTCCCGCTCTGCACACCCGACGTACCACGTCCAGTCACAGCGTGCAAGCAACTCTGCGAGACAGTGAAGAGTGAGTGCGAAACGCATGCGGAACTCATGCAATTATGGCCCGACTTCCTCAACTGTGACACGTTACCACAGCCGGAGAAACATGAGCTTTGCATGCAAATACCGCAGGACACCGACAAGCAGCATATGAGTGTGCAAACGCTCTCGCCCTCGCCCCAGCTGCAGTATCAACAGCCAACGCAATTTTATTGGCCTTGGTCGACTTGGAAAATGCCACCACATTTGAGTAAAAACATTGCGCCCACCGCCATTTGTCCGCACAACTTTACCGCCGATCCACTAAACGTCGATCTATGCGTGCCGCAATGCAATCGTGATGCCTTCTACTCGACGCAACAGAAGAAAATCGCAGAGAGTCTTATACTGGGACTGTCAGCTGTTTGTTTTGTTTTAACGCTCTTCTCGCTGGTCACCTTCTGGGCGGAACCGACACGTTTTGGTTATCCCGAACGACCAGTGCTTTTCCTCTGCCTCTGCTATAATCTCTTCAGTGTTTGCTACCTAGAACGCATCGTCTTTCACAACTCTACGCGCACGCTGGCCATGCTCGAAGATCCGTTGGGTAAAGCAAGCGCGGTCTGCACTATCTCGCCACCTTGCTTAGCCTCATATATCACCACCAGCTATTTGAGTTTGTGCGCAGCCAGTTGGTGGCTCATATTTGCGCTTTGCTTCTTTCTCTCGTCGCACAAAAAATGGTCAAGTGAGGCGCTGGAGAAGAAGTCTGGCCTTTTTCATGTACTCGCCTGGGTGCCACCGTTAGCGCCACCTATTGCTGCTTTGTTAATGGAACAAGTACGTCCAAATGAGTTGACTGGCATGTGTACGGCTTTCGGTTTTGTAGAGATTCCCGCCTTGGTCTTACTACTGCTCGGCATCTTTTTCACTGTACGTGCCTCACACTCACTGGATGCACTGCAACAACAAATGAAACCGATTTTCGGCCACCAACGCTTCTCGCAGATCCGTAAACGCTTTCTCATCTACTCTTTGCTATTCTTCATGCCAACAGTGGCAGGCGTGATAAGTTCATTCTTCGAACGTTACGTGGACACAGTGCCCGCTTGTTCTACGCACGAGGATTGCGCGCCGCCAGCGCTACGTACAGCTTGGCCTACGCTTATAAGGATATTTTTCCAGTTAACAGGGGGCACCCTCACCGGCATGTGGGTGTGGTCGCGCAAGACGTGTGAGTCATACCGCAGTCGCCTGGTCGCCACACCGACCTCCTCGTCGACGACAACAAAATCGATCTCATCGTTGCCGAAGAAGCACTTACATACGAATGGCAAGTCGGCGAGCAGTGCCTTATATAGCGGTATTAACTTTCACAATGTGCCGGTGTACAATCCGACTCAGGTGCATGTGTAGCGGTTATCAGTTGGAGTGGGGGAGGATAGTGAAGCTGCCGAGCAGCAGAACAAAGTGAGGGCGGGTGTATATAACTTGGGTTTATATCTTTAAGAAGACTAAGTTAGTTTTAACCCTTTAAGGCTCGAATGTTATTTTTATTTATAAAAAAAAATGTTTTTAAGATCTTTCATACGCATGTACATAGTATATGTTGTAGTTGTAATTGAAAATAATTAGTTGTTGTATAATCATGCACACCTTTTAATGTAAAATAGTACCAGTACTAGTTGTTTTAGGGCTAGTGCAAAACTGATTACTTTTGGTCTGGTACTGGTCTAATGGGCAAAATTTCATAAAATAAAATATCAATATCAATTTTCTATTATACGAGTATATGCTAAAAATAATCAACAAATAATACTAAATGTTTTCAAAAAATACAGTAAATTTTAACAGCAAAAAAAGTGGAAAAAAATGTAAGGCAGAAAACCTATTAATTTTAAAATTAGTATTTTTATCGACACCAACTGGGCCATTCGTCATCAGTTTTGCACTAGTTTCGCTCTGGTTATGTCTTATGTTCAAATATTTTTTTTTTTTTTTAGTTTTTTTTACTAAAATTTATTCTTTTGTTTGTGAGTGTACTATGTTAAAAACAAAAAACTCTAAAATTATTAATAAAATGTGTTAATAGCTTTAATTTGTAAATATGTACGTAAAATATGTACATATGTACATGTATATAAGTAAGCATTTTGATGTATTTATGTACATATATTGTATAATTAATTAAGTTTCGTATTAAAGATGCTCTATACCGTTAATGAATAACATAATCCCGTTATTAGTATACAAATTCATACTAAATAATAATATTTAAATTATTAAATAAAATATATTTGAATGAAAAAAAAAATTCTAAACTTTAATTATCAGTTGGTTGTAGGCTTAATGCAGCTGTTAAAATAATCAGACCATCGAGTTTCCTACGGAAATCTCCTCTGAAATGTTACTGTACTCAGCTTACTATGCCTTCAGTCACATATTAGTGGGCCCACACGAGAAAAAGAAAACTTTGAGAGCGAATAATTAAATAGAGTACAGATGAAGCCAATGTGTTCGGGGATATCCAGTGATGATCTGCCGAGTTGCCGAGCTGCCGAGCTGCGGAAATAAATTTTATGTTTTTCCATCAAATAGATGGGCCTACAGTTTATTTTAAGTCAACTCCGAACGGCAGATGGATGTTTATGAGAAGCTTTTTATTTCATGCCAGAAATACATTGGAAGAGCTAAAAGATCCAGCCGTGGGACAATTAAAAAAAAATTCTTAACTTTTTCATTTGAATTCATTTTATATTATATAATTTTAGACGCTAGGAATTGAACCCTAGACCTTGCGCATAGTTGTAAGAACTGCTAACCAGTCGAATGTTGTGACCACACCCCTACTTTTTTATTTTGTCAAATTTACACACATTCGGCCCTTCACGTAAGGTGCATCTAAAATGGGTCTGCCCTATAACAGCCATTGATTGTAGCAACTGCGAGTTAGAGCATTGTGGTTTCCCACAAAAAGCATATCTGATATAAGCAGTTTCATTGAAAAGACCACCGAATTAACACTGCACTGACTTCATATGAACTCAAACACCGATGGATATAACGAAGGGAAACCAGCCATTGCTTGGAACAACAGACATCAGAACAAAATGTCGACATTATTCCGCTCATTAATTTCATCACTTTCCAAATTCTTGATATCAATAATATGCCGAAGTTGTTGAAGATTAGTGTCTACTTGCCGTATTCTTAACACATCTGGACATCGCAATAGAATAGGCTTCTTGCTCTGAGAGTCTAATATCATAGCCTCTGGTATTTTCGTTCTTTCAAGACAGGGCTTAACTTGTTCGGGAGGTCAAGATATTCATATAAATATTTTTTGTTGCTGCTTTGATGGTTTCTTTGACTTCGGTAGCTTTCAATATATCCTTTTCTGTTTGGCACCAGTAAACAGCGGTGCTAAGCCAACACAATTTCGTGATTGATCAGAAACGATCTAAACTCATTTCCCTCCAATTTGTAGTTTTGCGTCTTGATGTTTTTCCGACAAATGGAGGGACCTACAGTTTTTACTAAGCCACCTCCGAAAGGCTCATGGTTCTCTACGTGGAGCCTTTATTTCATGTACGACAGAATAGGCGACTTGCGTAGTCAACAAGGGAACAGTCGTAACCACGGTTTACTCTGCACATGACGTGGGCATAGCTCTTTCCTTTGCAAAGTATCTGCTAAGATAAGCCCTCACCAGAATGGCCAAGAGCAAATGGCAGAGCGAAACCGCGTGCGATGTGACAAGACAATTTGGGTCAAACCGGACCTCCATGGACTCATGGTAGAAGGATGAGCTACTTCATAAACGAATTCTGTGGCACATAGATGAGGAGGAATCGGTGGAACATTACCTCTGTCACTACCCAGCTTTCAGTGCGGTTTTTTTCGGAAATTTCTTCTACGATTGCCCTGCAGAGCTTGCATCAGTAGGCAATATTAATCTACTGAATTTCATAAAACACACCAATGGATTTGAACAATTGGAATGCTGAAGAAAACATATTTATCAGAAAGGGGCGATAAGCCTGAGTGCTCTTGATCAGGTTTCCGTTCCGTTCAGCTGTTAACTAACTGACTAACTACCTTGGTTACCATATTTGAATTTTCTAATAAATCTTCGTCGGTGATTATGACGAAAGCAATTTCTCTGTAATTGGTACTGATAACATCTCCCGATTCCTACGACCAACATCCGCTATCTTTCCCGTCGACTTCGACACTTTGAGGTCACTGCTCGCCAGGGAAAGTCAACTCCTCTGAGTGTGTTTCTGGCATCAACTAAAAATCATAAAAATCCATTAGCCGCTCGGTCTCTAGGATGAGTCACAGTAGGTCCCTTTATCAAGACGCATGGCACAATTGGAGCAGGAGCTCGCCGGAATTATAAATATTTCATCTCCAGTGACAATTTGCTCTGAAAGCTGTGCAGTTTTATCTCTCACTTGCCTTGTTACATATATATATCAAAACGAATATATGTATATAAGTGATTCTTAAAATTACTGTACTCTAATGGTTCAAAACTGTTAAAAACATAAGAGTTGAGAATGAGAGGTAGTGCTCCCTCGCGTAATCACCCATTGGGACTCTCATTCAAACAGACGGATACTGTATTGTGAGGCGGAAATCTTTGTTTTCGTGGAACCTGTAAAACATATTGGAAACGAATAATGAGTAAGACATATGAGTATCTCCGATTTCAGTGGCAATAAAAGTTCTAGATCCAATCATGACAAACTGGAAAAGTGAAGCTGTAGATTGTCGCAGATCTCTTTAGGTGATGGCAGAACGGAATATACGACTATTTCACGTAAGATACGACCAAGGAAACAAGTTTTCCCTGACAAAGCAAGCCTTGGTGGGGCACTAGTCACAAGCTAATTCATACTAAAGGAAAACCTGGCAATTTGCAAGTTGAGGCATAGTTAGCTGAAATTGAAGCGTAACAGTTGTAATGACTTGAACTCCCTGAATCCGCGCAACATTTCAGATATAACTAATATCCAAAGGAGATCTCGATTTCTAGGAAGGCATATTGAAATAAATAAAAAATTGTTTCAGATTTTCTAATTACGGTCGCCCCTCGTCAGAAAATGTCAACCCCTACGCGTGTATTTATGATATGAAATAAAGCCTGCTCATTAGAAACTATCAGCCGTCGAAGGCGGCTTAAACAGTAGGTCTACCGTTTGTTGAAAAACCATCAAGGCGAACACTACAAATTGGAGGAGGAGTTCGGCTGAAAATCGCTTTAGCGGTTACAAAGAGCCAATTATAAATTTTGAAAGGCTAGGGGTGCCTTACCCAAGATGCTGCAGGAGCTGTTAAAACTACGTGGAGGAAAAGACGATGTGCGGTCGGGTGCTCCGCTGTTCTTGAGAGGCTCGAATTCATAGCCAGGTACTTGGAGAACTGGAGTGAACAGAGCCACTGGAGGATCATTTAGTCACTATTAGTCGAAACTCTGCGAAAAGGTAGCTGAAGGAACCTTTTGTCAATAGTTATAAATCGGTGAAAGATCCAGACCATTGTAGCGCTTTTCATGCGCATCTAGCTGCTATCAAGGATTAGAATTATAAACTATTTGGAAGTGTGATTTCTGTGCTATAGACTAACATCAGAAACCAGTCATCCATTGCGGTCTAGATCACATGATGGCCACTAAAATTGAGAAGGAATGTTAGCCACCACTATCTATGTCCTACACTTATTTCATTACTAAAATCTTCTGGGTATTGGGTAAAGCAGGAAACTCCAATGCTAATAAACTTGCACGTATGAGCCCGACCGTTTCGTGATTGCCGGATAAAACGATTTATTTTAATTTGCTATCTGTTACTGTACAGGCGTGCCTTGAACAAACTCAGCCAGCGCAGGGTATCACCTCAACATGCGCGGTTGCCAATGGAGGACTATGAACGATCGGGGAAGCTTCCTGCTCTATCAAGAAAAATACTCTCTTAGTGGGAGTTTCGATTGAATATTGCTCAATGAAAATTTTCCCGATAAGACTTACGATATTTCCCGATCACCACTATCGTAGTACTTTGGAAGAAGAGATGACATCATCTATGCGAACGATCGCATAAGCTTGCGCGCCCGAAGGAGTCATCAGACATTCGCAAGACAAATTTGTGGATTTGTGGATTTGTGACATTCACTAACCGGTTCACTGAATGAAAAGTAGTCTAGTATTGAGGAAAACTTTCCTTTGGGAGGCATCACAGCGGGAGTTTCTATGTGGAATCTTCTCAGGATTAGACTGTCCAATCACACATATAATTCTTCATTCAAGCTGACCGAATTTGAATTGGGTTGTGAGGCTTGAAGAAGGAGGGCTCAGCCGATAATTGAACGAATTCAATTGCCATTTTATAATGTTGCAGCACTTTCGGCTGAGACCTCACGCGATATTAAAACATACATACATACATACATACATACAAACATGCATATGCATGTATATATATAGACATACAGATGTGTTTAAGTAATATAAACATAAATATGTATGAGCATACAATTTAATCTCCCCTTAGACGTTTGCGCATTGCGCATAAAATGTGAGAATCAAAAGCAACAACAACATGAAGACTACCAGGTCCAATGCCAATGGCAATCTGCACTATGCACTCACATCGGTCGTATTATAGTACTGAACGCGCGAAACATTAAATGCGGCAGTCGTGCAATTAACTCTGAAAGCGCTAAGATCAAAGCGATAAAGCCGCAACCCCAACCGCAGCTAAAGTAAAAGCAAAAAGCGAGAAAAAACACAAGCCAAGCAAAAAAAA